CTTTCCCTAAGCATTTCTCTTTGGATTTTTCCCTCCTCCTAGCAAGCTCTCCCTTTGAGTATAACCTTTTGGCCAATTGCTGCAGAGTAGGGTCAACAAGAGCTTCTGTCTGAAGGTCAGGCTGTTAACCCTTTCCTATACCAGGTATTGGATATTATGTTTATCCTGCACACAGAAAGCATGGGCTAATGAAGGCACATTTCTGTTTTTTCCTGCTGTTCCTAAGGCTACTCCCAGTGATTTTATCACAAGTTTCAGGGTATCAGATATCTTCATAAAACCTCAGCTCCTGCAGTCCCACAATTAATTAAGAATTTCAACTTCTACATGTTTTAATATACTGTATTTCTAGCTGTTACAATGGCAATACCAACAGAACTTAGTATAATGTACTTACCTGGAAAAAAACCAGCAACAAATAGGGTGAGCTCCAGATCTACTTTTAAAAGAACTCAGAATATGAAGGGCAGTCATACTCTTTTTGGGGCCTACCCTCTGATTTTTACAGTTTCATGCGTACAAAAAAAAAAAAGGATATAAATTACAGACTGACTTTTTACTCTTTAGACAATGAGACTGACTTCTTAAAATGGTTAAAACAGTTTGTGGCTTCGATCTTCACTGCTTTTTCTTTTTTTTTTTTTTCCCCTGTACTGACCTCCACTGATCTTTCAACTGTTAATATCACCAGTCACTTCAAAAATTCTCTTCTGACCTCCACACTGCCTTGGGAGTCCAAAAGCATATTTTAGATTGGGAAGCTCTGTGTGGAACAGCTTGACTCATCTGCTTCTCATGTGCTATCATTCCTCATTTAGAAAGTTTAGAAATGAAGGGTCCAGTAATGGCTTCTAGCTAAAAGTTTGTATCAATGAAGTCGTACTGTGACGAGAAACAAAATATCCACAAGCTGAACACCAGCAGCTGATCCTAAAAGCTGATTTATTGGTTATTTTGGGAAACAATGTTTAACACCATGTTAAATACAGCATTAATGATTTATGCAGCATAAGACAAAATGGAAAAAAAAAAGAAAGTGTGTGTGAATGAATGCATGTGCTCATCCATGGAAATACAGGCTATAGCCATGCGGCTGCATGCAAGGAAACACAGGTGCCAAATGATAAAAGTCCTCTTGGCTTCTGATACCAGCTTTGACACAAGATTATTTCTTGAGTAGGCCCAGTAACAAAGCATGGTAATAGCCTTGGAAACTCCTAAATACAAGGCACTTACAATTCCACTATTCATTGTCCTATGAATTGCCAGAAAGGAGTCATCTACAGCATGTGTCTTTTTGGAATACATCTGAAGAAAGAAATTTAGGAGTACTGTGGGACACAGAAACTCATCAATTATAGCCCTACCTAAGTCACAACTGTTACGAAAGACAATGGTTGCAGTAATGCCCCTCCGCAGTGCACACCCCTTCTGCTCTGGGAGGCAGCTGGGAATGGGGATGGAGGATATCCAGCTGCAGGAAGTGAAGTTTCCAACACTGTGAGTATGCTACTGCATTTTGTACCAAGCAAACAGGCTCTTTATAAGGCTGAACCAACAAGGACCCATACTGTGCAGACGTTACCCTGAGAAAACCTCATCCAAAGTCAATGAGAAGTTTTCCTGAGTAAGAGGTTTCAGGACTGGCTCCATGAAAAAAGACAAATGGGTAAAATAAATAGGCTACGATAATAAGGATGAGGTGAAAGCAGAGGCACGGGACAGTGCCTACATCTCTCTCCTTTGGCACTATTTGAACATGACAAGGAGGGAGCGTTAGGGACATTGCAGCGCCTGCCGCACCGTGCAGAACGGTGTAAGCACTCGGCACACGAGTAAATAACTTTCCCTTAACTTACTCTTCAGGAATTCTGCTGAGCTCTGTGGAAAACCTAATGAAAGCCCGGGGGGTGGGGTGGGAGCAGGAGCGCGTCGCTCGCCGGTCCTCCTCGGTCACAACCGCTGGGGCGGGCCGGGTGGTCTGCCAGCCCG